CAGCCTCCCAAGTGCTGGGATTACAGGCATGCAGCACCACACCAGTCTCAGCTGCCCTCTCAGCATGCCCCGGGGCAGGGCCTGCAGATCAGGCCTGGGGATCTAACTCCCCACCCCTGCATCTGCCTAAGCAGGTGCTTTAATCCACTGCACTATTTGGCCAGTCCTTATTTGTATCTTTTTAAATTTATTTCATCAATGTTTTATAGCTTTCACAGTAGAGACTGTTCTTTCACCTCCTTGTTAGAATTGTTCTTAGGCTTGTCTGTAGTTACTGTAAGTGGAATGTGTTGTTTTATTTGCACTGTTTTTCTGATGAATAAAGTTGAGCATATTTTTATGTGCACACTGGCCATTTACCTAGGTTCTTTGTGAATATGCCTATTCATATCACAGTGCTGGATTACAGGTGTGCACCACCATGCCTGGACTAGGTCCCCGGCTCAGCGCACCCGGTATGGAGCCAGTGTGGCATTTGGTGCCTTGGTCCCTGCGCTTGCCTGAACAGGCACTTAGTCGCTGAGCTATCTTGCCAGCCTTGTTGAAAAGTTTTGAATCCCATGTTCGTCAGGGATGGTGGTCTACACAAGTGGAACCTTGGTTCATGAACATAATTCATTTTATGATTCTGGGGAAGATGGGCACATTCATGTTTGTGCAGGGAAGATGGCTGGAGTCATACAATTGATCAAATGCAAAGCGGATAAATAGAAGTAATATTTTACCTACAGCTTCGGCTCCAGAACCAAACTGTTCACAAACCAATGTATTTGCAAATGGCAGTGTAAGCCAAGGTATTAGTGTATCTCTATCTGGTAGTATTATCAGCATAATGCTAACCTTCCAGAATGCATTTGGAAGGGCTCTTTCCCTTTCAATTTTTTTAATAGTTTCAGGAAAAAAAGTATTAGTTTTTCTTTAAATTGTTTGGTAGATTTCTGTTGTGAAGCCATTAGGCAAGAGGCTTTTCTTTATGGAAGAAACTCAATAATCTATCTTTACTAATAAAATACTTTAGTAATAGTCATTTTACCAAAAGTAATTACTTACTACTGACCCAATCTGATCACTCATTTTTGATCTGCCAAGTTTTCTATTCCTTTGTGATTCGCTTTTGGCAGTCTGCATTTGTCCAGGAATTTGTCCATTTCTTCTTCTACTACTTGTTTCATGTTTTTATAGTTCTTTGAGATACATCATCAAGTTTTCACTTTAAATATTTCTACTTATTTGATGCAGACATTTATTGCTATGAACTCTGCTCTTAAAACTACTTTGTTTATATCCCATAAGTATTGATTTTTTTTCATTTACATTCATCTCAAGAAACTTAAATTTGTCTTTTAAGTTCTTCAATATCCTGTTGATTGTTCAGAAACTTAATTTTCATATAATTACACTATTTCAAATTTTCCTTGTTTTAGTGATTTCCAGTTCTATTTCATTGTTGTCAGAAAAGTACCTTAATTATTTTTATATTTTTCTTTAAATTTGTTATGACTCATTTTGTGGCATAATATATGATCTGTCCTGGACACCGGTTATGTGAAGAAAGAAGAATGTGTATAACTCTGTAGCTGTTAAATGAAATGTTCTATAAATGCTTGTCAAGCTCGTTTGGTCTAGAGCATGGCTTAAATACTAAGTTTATTTGTTCACTTTCTATTTGAATGACCTGTCAACTGATTAAATGGGATGGTACATTCTCCTATTATTCTGCTATAAATTCATTTCTTTACTATCCCCACTAATGTTAAAAAAAATCTACTAATGTTTGTTTTATACATGTAATAAGCTAATTAATTTCACATTTTAATTACCACTTCTACATTTGTGTTCCTCTATTTACTGCTCCATATTCTGAGGATGGTGTAACATAATATAATATAAGATGCACAAGAAACTTCCTGAATGAATTAACAATTCTATTACATGGAGGATTTTTTTCTCCAAAGTTGAATTTAGAATTTGTATTATTTTGTCATTTTTAATTCACCACCATATGTTAATGTAGACTTCCTGGCTCATTTAATCAAGTCTAATTTTACACCTTTGCTTTTTCTTTTCTACAATTTCTACTACTGTATAATTTCTGGGTTTTAAGCTCACTCAGAAGACAAGACATATACTTTTCAGTTTCACCTCCTTCTGTTGCATAACAAGAGACTTGCCAAAAATGAGTCTTCAGGAAATGAGTTTTACATAAACAAATTAGAGAAACATAAATTTGTACTTTCCTATTAATATATCCTATGAATAACATTAAAAGTTTTTCTGGGTACCTAATATTTTATCATATAATTTTTTTCTCATTTATGAAAGCAAAAATATTATAGTCTTTATCAAATAGTATAAGGTTTTTGAATTTCTAGAAAAATCTATCAATACTTATGACACAAAATATGCAACTTTAGCTATAAACGCTGAATGTGGTTTTACAGTAAGCACCAAAAGCAAGCTGATAACTATATAACTGGCCAAAAACAGATACTCTCATTAGAGTAGTACAAACACAAAACTTGAAAGTGTCTGTGTAGATCCTCATCAATTATAATCTTCATAAACACAAACAGCTTCATACCAGGGGAAAAGTAGCTTTCATACCTATATAAAAATAAAGCTCTAAAAGAACTGCCATTCAGACTCTAGCTGACAACAACAATGTTGGCAAAACATCCTTGGAAGTGTCTTGAACCTAAACATATGAATTCTAAAATATTATTTTTACTATTTCAATTTCACAAATAGAAATAAAAATTTTTTACATTAAACCTTATTTCTTACAAAGAATATCTGTATTTTTGTCAAAGTTATCAAACAATTAAAGAATGTCTAATAATAGCACAGCACTTCTCATACTTGCAAGGCATGTATTCACTGATTTGAGTCTCATAAAAGTTCTATAGGATATTATACTTACTACTTCCTAAACCACAGAATATGTAAAAGTTTAGGGTTCAAAATGAAACACAACTTTTCAAACTCCGAGTTCAATATTCTTTTTTTTTTTTTTGTGGGGGGGTACTGGGGATTGAACTCAGGACCCTGTACTTGTCAGGCAAGTGCTTATTCTACTGAGCTATCTCCCTGACCCTAAAATTCATTATTACTTTATGTCCTATTCCCTTAGGATACCTGTCACCTCATTTGTACATCTTTTATAATCTAAAACTGGATTATGAACTCCTCCATCAGAATATGATAGGACCTCATCAAATCTATGAGTGCTTTCCTTTAATAGAGATGTCTACAGAAAGAACCCAAAATCTTCAACTTCAACTGTCGTATTTAAAATTCTAATAATAAAAACAAGTGATGATTTCCAAGTTGACTTTTTCTGCCTCCAAGAAACTTTTTTTCTTTTTGTACTTAGTACATGGTCTAGAGGGTCTCACTATGCAGATGAGACTCATAGTGATCCTCCTGTTTTCAGCCTCCCAAGAACTGGGATTACAGGTGCGCACAATCAACTCAGTTTCTACTGCCATTTCAGCGTGCCCCAGGGGTGGGGACAGCATGGTGCACTATGCTGGGGATCGAACCCCCTTCCCTGCTTAAGCAGGAACTTTAATCTACAGAGCTATCTGGCCCAGTCTAAGAATATTAATTTAGATTTCTATAGTTACATTATAAATTAGAAGTAGAAAGAAGACAAGTATTTTAAACTTAATGTGTGATATATTTCAAAAATGGAACCACAGGTTTAAAAATAGAAGGAAATATTCATATAAATTATAGTTGACTAGTTTACACTTTGAGCTTTCCTTCTGTACTGCCCACATGGTGCACGGGATGGGTTATCTGTGGGCACAATTTAAAGGTACATATAAATAAGAGTTTTTCGAGGAAATAATGACCAATATAGCATATAGAAATAGGAGAGTTTCTCAAACAATAAATTACATGTATGAAAGGTAGCAAATATGATTATAAAGTAGAGGTCTAAATACTATAATAGTTAACAAAATGGACTTTTACCTTTTAATCCACTTAAATAGTATTCATTTTCATTTAGCTACAAGTACTAGACGTGAATGTACTAAATGCTACTGTATAATATTCTTTCAAATGGGCAATGTTATGGTATGTGAATTTTACCTAAAAAGCATATATACATTAAGTACATGTTTATTTTTGTTACTGATATATGTATAAATGCTACTAAATTTTTTTTTAAAAATGCCTCTGTTACTCATCTAGCAATCATGATTCAATCTTTCTCTAAAACTATTAGTACCATGTTCATCTCTGGAAACAAATTAAAATGCTGTGGACATCCATCCTGAAAATATGCACATGATGTGAAATGAGGGAAATAAAAGATGATAGAGAGGGTCATCAATTCCTTCAAATGCCATAAACTTCCCATTAAAAATGTCTCAATTAGTAAAAGGAAGTATTTTGAATTTGTTCTGCATCTGGTTAATATTCTATAAAGAAAACATAGCAAATAGAATATAATTTCAATACTCAATAGTCAAAAATAATTTAGTATTAGAACAATGTGAATAGATTTTTTAAGTCTTTGCCAAAAAGAAAAAAGTCCTCAATAAATCATAATATTAATTCAAACACTATTGTTCTACATATAAATGAACTTTATCACTTTTTAATAAAATATTCCATAAAATGTCTTGTACCATTTTGAAAGCACTTCAAGAGACATTCTCTAAAGTATATATCATATAACTTTAAATTTCCCTAGAAAAAAATCCACATTTTCATTTTTTACTTAAAATACCTTTACTGTTCCATATATTTCAAATACTGATGTATTTAAGTTATGAATTATAATCTATTTTAATTTAAAGTACATATTTCCTTATTTGGCTTAACATACTAGTCAATTTTAAAGCATTATATTCACGTAACTCCCAAACAATGTGGGAGTAAACTTTAAGTGCTGCAGTCATTTATCATAAATCATTCATCATGACATTATAATTAATACTACAATGAACTACATGAAAATATACTTAAAAGCTAAACTGGAAACGTACATGAACAAATTGTATGATAAAGTGTCTCCTTTGTCCATCAGAATATACAGAAAGGACATATTCACCAGGTTTCCCATGACTCTCTCGCACCAAGAAGTCTCCTTGTTGTTTTAACAGCTCTTGGGCTTCTATTCTGGGAATCGCACCATGGTACCAGTCATGCTCCGCCAGGGGCTTCTCACTCATGGCAATCATGTCCGAGTACTGAACAAATAGTTGTTACAAAGTAAATTAGAGAAAATAATGGGTTTTTCTGGGTAAAAGTCATAACAATTATAAATACTTGTTACATAAGTTCCTCTTTATCTTTTACCAATTAAAAACTGTATAAAAATCTGAAAATTTCATCATTTTTCAAAGAAAGTATCTTCTAGGGCACTTAGTACTGACGAATGACAAAAATATGTTTCCTTCAAAACTCTGTTACTTCCTCTATCATATACAGGTACACACAATATTACCACTTAAGAGTTATTATTATAGTTTTTTATCATATCACAAAATTAATCTATACATTAACATTTATAAACCAGATAGATTACAAAGTAAAAGGAGTACAATTGGAGAAATTTATCATAAATGTAACTTTATTTAAAGTTACATAAAGTAACTTTATTTCTTTCCTGGAATAATCAATTGATTACATAAGCTGTGAACTGTCCAGTTTCACATGTTCCATGAGCGCCAACTCAGGTTCATATTCTACCTCACTGAATTTTTCTCACTTATCTGACTTCACTAACCATTATCTCTGTCACATGGCTGCTCCTGCTCCTGCACAGCAATGGTAGATAAAGTCTTGAAGAAATATCACTGAAAATCACTAGGGTTAATTATAAGTGATGAAAACATAAAAAAAGAAATTAGCTGTTATTTTAAGAGGTCAAATGTTAACATCAAATAGCAGAGATAGTCAAGAACTGAGTGTATTTCCTCAAAATTTTTCTAACTAATAGTAGATGTAATCCTAATTTTTGGATTACAAATAAAAAATTTTATCAATGTATTTTATTTACCCACAGGAACTAAACTAATTCAGATGGTAAAAGTACTTGATAATTCAGTTATAAAAATGTGGAGCATCTCCTAAGATTCTCAAGATATAATATGCATAATGCCTAACTGAAGAGTAATTTATAAATTAAGAAGTCAGGATTACTAACAAATAGCATAGTTGGAATTTGAAATGTCTCCCAGTGGCCTAAGTGTCATGAGTCTTGAGTGTGTAGCTCTACTTGGGGGTGGTAAAACTTTAGGAGGCAGGACACAGTAGAAAAAAGTTAGCTTAGTGGGTGTGTCCTTAGAGAGGATACCAGGATCCTAAGGCTTTTCCAGTCTCTGCCTCTCGCTTACATAAGATGAGCTGCTACTCTACCAAGTACTTGCACCATGATGCACCAAAGACCCCAAAGCAATAGAGCCAAGTGACCATGAACTGAAAACTGAAATGATGTGACAAAACAAGCATTTTCTCCTTATAAGTTGTTCCTCTCAGTTATTTTGTCACAGTAACAGAAAGCTGACCAATACAATAAATAAAGGTCAAGTATTCACAAATGAGATATTACAGGCTAATATTATGAAGTCCACATAGGACAAAAGTACAACTCTACACAGAACTCTATGAAGAACAACACAGATATTTATCTGTAGTAAATTAGAATTAGTTTTGAACCCGGTCTTCGGTGTATTGTGCCACTGAAGAGACACAAAGTTTATTGCTCCAAGGACCATTACACATTAGGCAAAATTTTTCCTATTGGTTAAAAAAATGCAAAGTCCTAGACAGACCTTAATAAGAGTATAGACTTTTATTTTTACTTCTTCCACTTCTGACATTTTCTCACTTAAAAAAAATACATCATATACATGTTTATGAAATATTTCATAAATAAGCCTTTTCCTTTCAGTATTATGATGAATGATTCAAATAAATTTTAACATTCTCAAAATAGTTTGAAACAACAAACTGCATAATGAAGCAGCCACAAGTAAAAAAAGTAAAAGGATATTGCTTTTAAAAACAAATGCACAAAAAAAAAAAAAAAAAACAAATGCACAGGGGGCTGGGGATGTGGCTCAGTGATAGAGCTCCTGTCTTTCATGCACAAAGCCCTGGGTTTTTCCCAGCACCAAAATACATACATACATACATACACACATACACATTCATAATTCATTCAAAATTAACTTATTTCTATACTGAAGCTCATAGCTTTTAATTCTTAAAGAAGGTAGTCAAAATAATCAAATATTTCTTTTCTAAATTTTATCACAGGACACCAATTCATAGTAGATACAAAACTCTTTACTATAATAGAAATATTTCCAAGTCTTCCAATGGCAAATGTGCTTGACTATAAAAATTCATGATAACATTTTTTTAAATTTTTATTTATTTATTTATATTTTGTGTGTGTGTGTGTGTGTGTGTGTGTGTGTGTGTGGCCTGCTCAGCCCACCTGGGGGTGAAGCTTGCTGGCATGTGGTGCTGGGGGATTGAACCATGGTCCCTGTGCTTTGCCAAGCTTTTTCCAAGTAGGTGCTTTAGACCACTGAGCCATCTCTCCAGCCCCATGATAACATATTGTGTCAAAAAGAACTACATAACAAGAAAGCATCATAGACAAGCAAGGATGTCATATGCTTTCTTTAATAGCCAACCTATCCTTCCAAACCTGCATTTATTTAGAACCAGAGGAGTTTAGAACTTGGAGAATTCATTAAGTCTAAAAGATGTCAGAACAAAAAAAAATAAATAAATAAAAAAAATAAAGATCAGCTGACTCTCAAGAAACAAATATTTTAAGATGATAAACGTATTTAGAGGGAAAAAAAATCTTGAAAAGGTCTAAGTTTTTTTGGGGGGGATTGTTTTTTAAAAGGTGGGAAGGGACCACTAATGCTGTCATTGAGATTAATCCAGGTGTACAGGTTTATTACTTCATGGGGACAATCACAGATGGGATGCTCAGATAACTTTTTTCTCTATCCCCTAGACAATATTGTGAAATTTAGTTTGAATTATTATGAATATATGTCTGTACACACATTTTGTAACACACATACCTGTGGAAAAATCACACTCTCTATCCTGTTTGTTTGTTTGTTTGTTTGTTTTAATTTTACTGAGAAAGAAGTAGCAATGAGACAATTTCACAAGAGGTTAGTAGGACAGTTACAATAATAAATACATTGCATATTGTTGTCTTTGTAGTAGTTATTCATAGTACAAGATACAGACATGATATCTTGTCTAAACACTATTAGTTCAAAACTTTCTTCTCACTGAACTAAGAGAAAGTAGCTGTATATTTATGCTATTTGTATATACAGATATATAAATTGTTTTTCATTAAAAAATGGTCCTTCATCTATCCTGGTTCTAGCAGACCTTTAAAAGACTCCTCTGGAAGCAGCCAAATGTGATCTACTTGAAATCTTAATAAAAATTTGTATAGTTGATAATAAAAGAATATAAAATGTACGATCAACAAAATCCAATATTAACAGAGTTTACCATAGCATTAAAAATAAAAGAAATAGGGAGCCAGGGAGATGGCTCAGTGGAATAAGCGCTTCCTTGGCAAGCACAAGGGCCTGAGTTCAATCCCTGGTTCTGAAAAATAAATAAATAAATGAATGAATAAATAAATAAATAAATAAATATTCCAACTTTATTAATTTCATCAGGGAAAGATTTTCTATTAATATATGTTTACAAAAGATGATAAAAATTACAATCATCTTGGGAACTTGGTAAATATCCACAGCACATCTTGATCACTTTTCTCCCCCCCCACCACTCTTACCTCTTCCTCCTTCCTCAGATCCTCTCCCATCTCCACAGCACCTACCAGTTTCCTACAATCTCTCTTTTAATAATGCTCTTTACATAATTTGTATTTTGAGATTCAAACATTAAAGAAACTATGAGCTGGGCATAGTGTCACACACTTGTAATCCCAGCACTCAGGAGGTTGAGGCAGGAGGATCACTGCAAGTCCAAGATGAGCCTGAGCTACAAAGTGAGCTCAAGGCCAGTCTGAACTGCATAGTCAGACCCTATCTCAAAAAACAGAGCAGGAGAAAGAGGAAGAAGAATAGGAGGGAGAGGAGGAGGAGGAGTAGGAGCGGGAGGAGGAAGAGAAAGAGAAGTAGCAGAAGAGGAAGAGGAAAGGGAAGGGGAAGGAGAAGCAAGAGGAGGAGGAGGAGGAGAAAGAGGAGGAGGAGGAGGAGGAGGAAGAGGAGGAGGAAGAAGAGTCCTTGAGGAGGACGAGAAAAAGAAGAAGACAAGGACAAGGCTGCTGTGATATCTAACCTTCTATGTCTGATGTATTTCACTTTACATTATGGTCTCAAAGTACATTTCTTTCCAACAAAGGACTCAAATTTTTCTTTCTTTCTGGTTGAGTATTAGTCTATTGTGTATATACAGCACGTTAGCTTTATTCATCTGTTGATAGGCCTATATGCTGCTTCCATAATTTAGCTGTTGTGAACTGTGCCACTATAAACATGGGTATGCATGTATCAATATAATATGATGAGTTTCATTCTTTGGGGAAGATACCCAGAATAAGTATAGCAGGCTCATATGGAAATTTTATTTTTAGTTTTTTAAGGAATCTCCATACTGATTTCCACAATGGTGTATTAACATACATTCCCAACAACAATGCAGAAGGGTTCATTTTTTCAGTTGGGAAAGTTTTTTTTTTTTTTTTTCCCCTGGGAATAAGTTATCTAATATTTTATTTTATTTTATTTTTTCCATAATTTTATTGAGAGACAAATAGCAATGAGACAGTTTCAAATCTAATTGGTAGGATAGTTTCAATAATTAACACATTGCATACTCTCTTCCTAGTG